GTTCCATATGTGTTGCCTCCGACGCATTTTTGGTATCACCTGGCAGGACAAAGTTCCAAATAGAGAGGTCCTAGAACGAGCTGGAATTTTTAGCATGTATACACTACTGAAACAGCGATGTCAACGTTGGCTTGGGCATGTTGCAAGAATGGCTGATGGTCGGATTCCAAAGGATCTCCTGTATGGAGAATTAGTGCAGGGAAATCGCCCCAGAGGGAGACCACAGCTGCGATACAAGGATATCTGCAAGCGGGATCTGAGGGCCTTGGAAATGGACCTCAACAGATGGGAAACCCTAACATCTGAGCGTTCAGCCTGAGCGTTCAGCCCAGTTTGAAGAGACCCTCGCCCAGCAGGCTGAGGCAACGAGGCAGTCACGAAAGCAGCAAAATCAGGGAGCTAGACGGGTTACAGATTGTATTTGTCCTAAGTGTGGAAGGGATTGTCACTCTCGAATTGGCCTTCTCAGCCACACTAGACGCTGTTCCAAGTCCTCCATGCAGAGCACGATACCATAGTCTCTCAAGACTGAAGAATGCCTATGTGTATGTTAAATACATTAACCTATTTGAATTGGGGCTTATGCCTAGTTTGGATGTCGTCTTGCCATTTATTCATACATAATTTTTCCAAATTTCTGTAATTAATCTGTAAACCCAGAGCAGCACCCCAATTACTTTAATTTTAATGGTTTCTCTAACTGGGTGGGTCAGAGGAAAACAGAATAACATCACTGGTGCAATATTATCGCATGCCACCATCACCATCCCTCTCAACCTTCAAATGTTCCCCCTGGGAGAAGACCTAAAGGGACTATGTTTGGAAGAGCAGGAGCTGGAGAGAAAAGAGGAGAAGGATCCTAGAGGAGGTTATTTCAGCAGGAAAGGATGAAGAGATAAAGGGAGAGAAGAAAGGGGGGAAAGGGCAGTTAGAAATAGAGGAGGAAGCTTGTTAGGTGCAGGAAAAGGAGGAGGGTGAAAGAAAGAAAGACTGGGTAGAAATACAGTACAGTAGTTCAAGAAGACCCCTGGATAGGAGATTGGACTGAGTTTAAGCTCCCTAGGGAATACGCGGAAAAGGAATGGAATAGAAAGATTTACAGAGAGCCACCATATTGGGGCGAGAGAGAGGAGAGAGAAAGGTTTGGAGCGGCTTCTCAATTTCAGTGTGTTAACAACCAATTCTGTCTCTTGCTTCAGGGATGGCCCATTACCTCCCTTCTCCTCAAACCATAGCAAATCTCCTTTGAACAGTAAAGGAGAGGAACTCGAGTCTCTATAACACCACTTCTGTGGAATGCCCGATTCATCAGGTACACCTGTGATTAACGTTATTGGGTTGGCTGGGAAACCCAGGCCACCTGTGGTTCCCTCACAACCATTAAATCATCCAATTCCTCTCCATCATCCCCTCAGATATCCTGCCCATGGCCAAGGTATTTTCTTCAGCAGCCAATTCCATTGCCAAATCAGTATCTGAATCCCTGTATAATCAACTGAGCGATGGGCTATAGCTTCATTTTCGTTAATATCTTCGTCATTGTGGGTGTGAAAAGCGAGCAATTTAGTCTTGTCTCCTTTTCTTTGCCCTCATGAATTACCATGTACCGTATAGGAGAAATTCCAAGTTTCTTGTATCCCTGTCTAGTATATGCTCCATGCCTACTGTACAATTTGCAGATGTATCACACTTTGCATTTGGGGAAATCACCACACTGTGCCTTTAACTGCCCTTTCATTTATTTATTTATTTATTTGATTTGATTTGATTTGATTTGATTTGATTTGATTTATACCCCGCCTATCTGGACTAACAGTCCACTCTAGGCGGCTAGAGTTTTTAATTGTGCGGCTCTGCTTGCCTGCTGTGATGGATGATAAACTCTCATTGACTAGGTGTTGTGTTAGGTGGAGTTTAGGGCTATGCTTGCTGCCAGCTGCTGATTAATAGCTTGTCACCATAATTTCCACAGTGATTATGCCTAGCCAGTGGTTTTTAATTCCCCCCCCAAAAAAATACTATTTTCCCCTGAGGCCAACTGACGTTCCCTCCTTCTTGAAGCTCAGAGGGGTTTGGATACGAAGCAGCCTCAGCTGGCCTAAATCTGGTTACACCAGGCTAAAGCCAGCGTGGGTATTTACCAATGTGTCCTAATACAGCTATATATTCTAAATAAAATGCATTAACATAACCCAAACACAAATGAAGAGATACTACTAAAATCAGAACTGTGGAATAAAACACAACCAAAACCATGTTCCCTTCACCATATGCAGCTGAACCTTCCTCCTCTTTTGATCTGGATTAAAACTCAGCAGCCTAGATTCCTACTAAGGTACATCTGGAAGAAGACACAGAAGTGCCAACCAGTCTTCTGGGGGTTAAATGAACAGAGGTCCCCTTCCTAGAGAGGCAGGATGCTGGAATGATGGGGAAGAAGACAGCCAGTGCACTTTTAGTCAGTCTTCCGGACTGAAAAAAAAAAGGCATTTTTAGGGATGCTTAAACATGCAAAGAAGAGGACAAAGAGGTAAATGGGTGAGATTGGGACCCACAATTGCTTTAGTGGGAGGGAAGAGTATATCTTTCAGCTGGCCTCTTGGAATTGTTTGTAGGGAATTGGTCCATGCAATCCCACTGGAAAAAATTAATTAGGAATTAAAGCCTTTGCAAATACAATTAGGAATTAATTTATGTCCTTTTGGGTAGAGATTGTCCTGTTTGCCCTATGTAGTGTGCAGAGGGGCATTATTGGCAAAAGATGGCATAGATCCCATTAGCAGAGGAAGAAGTAAAAGTGTCCATTGTGTGTCAACAGTTGCTTGAGATTGTGGGGTTGTCTTTGTCTTCTTTTAAAAAATTTTTGCTTATGTTTTGTATTTCTTGTTGATATGCTTGCACCAGCTGACATGGCTACCACTTTGAAAACTAGGACCGGAATATTCTAAACTGTGTATACTTTTTTATGGGTTGGGGAACATAACTTGAGCATAGGATGCTCTGTTCCCATGCCAAACTGGAGCATAACCCATACTCCTACAGACACTATATTTATGCTAATTTTTCCAACTGCATTGTGTGAGACTTCTTTATCAAATTGCTTTTTCTGTTTGACCTCTGTTTCTTCTGAATTCTGGTTTACTCTCCTACCAACCACTGCTTATGTCTGGGAAAGAACAGCCACTTCCTTTAGCTTAATTAAGAAAATTGTTATCTTATCTGACGGCATTTACCAGCAAGAGCCAAAATCCTGTTGCTTAGCAAGGTAAATTGCACTAGAGAAGGTCATTGAATCTACAGTACAGTATGAGGATTTAGTGAGTGAAACCTGCCATTTCCAGTTTAGAGTTTTTGTGCTGTAGCCCACTTTCTTTGCTTCACTCAATGCCATCTGGGGATTTTATTTATGGGATTTTAGGGATAAAAATTTGGCTCCAATGACCTTTATTAGCAAGGGGGCTGCCCTGCTCTCCTGACTAATAAAGGAACACAACCAAGCGGTGCTGAGCTAGAGGCTTCTACCTAACATTTAAAATATAATGTTACTAATTATTTTTAAATTTTTGAATAATTTACTGTTTTTGACTTGTACTATAGTGTTTTAATGATGCAAGCTGTCTTTGGTCCTTTTTAAAAGAAAGGCAGGGTAAAAAAATATTTTAAATAAATAAAAATAAAATAAGGGCAAAATATCGGGGAATTAGAATTTTTTCTTCGGGGGGGATTTTAGGGAGAAAATTTGGCTTCTGTTACAGGTCTTAACAAGGGACTAGCCCTCCAGACTGCTAATCATTGAAACCAAGGAGTGATGGGCAGAGGCTTCTTTTGGATCTTCAGAAAACCTGAATGCTGAGGAAGAGTTAAAATCTGGTCATGACTGGAGAAAATACTTTTTGCAATACAGGGAATGAGGGAGGGGGCTCAGAGGTGTCAGATATGATGGACACCTCTCCATTGACCAACGATGCCCTTCTTGATGC